TCAATATGTATATTTCTATATGCCTATATGCAATGTGCATTTGGTAATAAAATTGAATTGAATTGAATTGTATACTTTAACCAACCAATCTACCGAATGGGAAATTCCTTCTAGCGTAAAGTTGGTAGGCGACTGTAGTCCCATGTACAATTAAAATCTGTCACAAATATAAAAGTTTACTCACATCAGTGAAACTCCCAACACAGTCAGCACCTGAAGTGTGTATGTAACCCAAGTTAATATATTTTTTGGACCACAATGGTCAAAACAAAATGAAACATGTTACGAAATATAACTAAAACAATGCCAGCATCACTCATCAAAATCACACGTAGCAACATTATTGTAGGAAGTTTGATAAACAAAATAAATCATCGGTGCTTGCATTTTCTTCATCGTTTCACAGAAATCATTCAAAAGTATGATCTTTAGGTGATTTCTTTAGATATTTCATATACCCACATAAATCTAAGTTCTATCTTGAAAAGTTGACATTTAAACCTTTACTCTCTAACTCCCTTTTGTTAACTCTCTCTATCTAGACTAATTAGATTGTGTTGACAAAATCTCTTTGTAACATTAACATCTTACTGTTTTCTTGACAAGAATTTAAATATTTACAAATTAAGGTACATTGATTATTGTTCATCTGCTCATCAATGGATAAAAGTGAAAGGAGCTGAGTCAACCCAAGTTGGGATGGAGCTCGCTATGGGTCTGATTTTAGGTTAATGAATTTTGTTACTTGTCTTTTTCTTTCAATTGAGTACCTGATTGACCAGCTAACAATTAAAGTGACAGTCCTTATTTTAATTTGGTAACGAGTATATTAAAAAATAAGTTTTAGGCATACCAGTCCTAAATATTGATTTTTTTTCTCTGCAGGATTTGTATCAATCAGTTTCGGGTGTATTACATTTTTCTTGGTGAAGACTGATCCAAAAAGCAACTCCACGACACCAACTTCACCAAACCGTGACAAGTCGTCACCAAATGAAGGTAGGTTACTGGTAACAGTAGTGATGGGACGATGATTGACAGGGATCGATGAATGATCCTTTGTCACCTTTCAATGCCGATGATCAAAAGATAGTGAAGGGGTGATCGAGCCATGTGCAGTTTGCACATATTTTGGAAAATTAGTGTACAGAAACTATCCCGGGTGCAAAAGTTACCCAACACCATACAAGTACTTAAGTTTTCACACTTCAATAAATTATTAGAAAGATTGTGAAAAGATTTGTGTAACACAACCAAAGTGTGTTTCTATGTCACGTTTCGATGACTAGTACGGTATGTATTCTGTCACCAGATAAATAACCAGTGAAGCGTATGTACACAAAGGTGTAAAATATATGTACGAGTTGTCCACAAATCAATGTCGATCTGGCTATGCAGTAAGCGTATGTACAATTAGTTGTCATATATGTACCGAAACGACTCAATTCAGCTATATGCTTTACGAGAAAGATTATTATAAATTTAACAGTCTTAAAGTCAGTTAGTAACTTTGACGAATGCAACGACTGAAAATTATCTTTAACATTGTACATGTTTTGCCCAATTTATTTTTGCGAATGTAACACCCTTTGTGTATGATATACAGGTGAGGACCTTTCTAGGTGGCAGCTCCTGTTCCTACCCGGCTTCCTGGGAGTTTGTCTGAGTATGATGGCCACATCTGTTGTCCAGTACGGCACACTGAACTGGACACAGCTATACATGGTACAGGAGAGAGGGCTGACCCCTATGTCAGGTAAGTCACATTGTGTTGACAAGTTATGTCACTGTGTTGACTGGTGATGTCAATGTGTCATCATATATGGTATGTCACATTTGTATGTACTCACTATTTCTTTCTATATTAGATAATAGAAATTTCAAATTCATTGTATTACATTGATATTCTTTTTAACCCCATACAACAGCTAATAAAACCTTTGTTTTTCAAACGTTTTTCTGCAGCGTTTAGGTTTTGTATCTAAAGGGAGGTAATCTTGTCTTTCTGAAGTGATGGACCTTTTAAAATCTTTCACTTGAAAATTATGTGGTAGGACTAATAGGTGTGTGTGTAAATAGTACCTCCCAGCATGTAATTAATAGGGCAAATTGCTCACGTTTTAGAATTTATCAAGGAAGCTGCAATAATGTACTCCATACACAATGGACCTTATTGGTCATAGAAACACATGTTAAGATGGGGAACATAATTTTCTTGCTTCTCTCAAGAAACTTCTTTTCTTTACATAAATGTGATGTTTTGTCTGTAGGCAGTGCTTTTGTAAGCAGTGAAGAACTAGGAGGGATTGTGGGGTCTTGTGTGGCTGGGTTCTTGTCTGACTTCCTTATCAGCAAGGTATGTCACACACAAAATATAATGTCTTGTAGTTAGGAAAAAAACATAATAGCTTAAAATATTTATTCATTCTTTTGAAAATGTTATGCATACATCTGGTTTTAAATTTGATAATTTTATTTCATATTTTGAGATAAAACATCATGATTGTTTTCATATATTTTATATTTGATATCCCCTGACTGGCTTCGAAAGTCAACATTCTTTCTAATGCGAAATAATATAAATGTATCAATCTCTGTTACATTTCAGAACCCAGGCGTGGCTAGACATTTGATGAGGCAGGTGGTGGTTATGTATTTTATGCTGTTCCTGACTGGGGTATTATACTGGATCACATACAGTTTATCTTCTTCCACCTCACAGGTAAACCTCCA